GTTAACGTGTTCGTTCGTTCGCATATGTGTAATAAATCCACTCGGAATACTTTTAACCACTCATAATTTAATTTATTTTTTATTGATTATTGATTTGAAGTCGAGTTATTTACACATATCGAGAAGTTCACATAACTTGCCTCAAGGCAAAATACCAATACCAACTAGCTTTATTTTCTTTTAACTCTTCTATCATTTTTAAGGCGTGATAGCAACACCTCCATGCGTCGAAGCAGTCCAGGCAGACGACCACCGTCTGCGTCCAGCAGGCCGAGGACGCGCCATCAAAATTCCTGCGAGCGTCTTGCCGCCACAGCGGCGATGATCGCCTGTAACGTATGCCGGACTTGCGGTTCGCGAGCATCCTTACCCGGAGGAGGATCGCCGCAAGGCGAAAAAGCCTGCGAAACACCACGCGATGATATGATGACAGAGGAATTGCAGCAGGAGGAACAGCAGCAACAGGCAGCAATCAGTCACCGCACGGAGAGGTAATTAAAAAAATCAGAGTGGAAAGTGGATATTTATGTGAATGTGGGTAATAATTTCCCGTAGGGTAGTTATAGTAATGGGTCGAAAATCAAAAATGAAAATTTTTGCATACCTTTATGTTTTCAAAGGTTTCTGAATATTTGGCGATTTTAGAAAAAAGTGATGTATGTGTGTGTGTGTGCGGATACAAATTTTCGTCGACGTTTTTGGGAACACCGATCAACCGATTTGAATAATTCCAAAAACATTCGATTACTATTGATAAGGAGACGTGCTGATTAGTTTTTGGCGGAGGCAGGTCTAGCCGTTCCGAAGATACGGGGCAAAAATTGACAAAAATTGTAACTCAGTTTTCAAGAGAACGAAGCATCCGATTTTAATAATTCAAAAAACATTTTACTTGTATTGACAAGATGAATGATTGATTAAATTTTTGGAAAGGCAGGTCCAGCAGTTGTAGAGTCTCAATAAAAATAACTTAAAAAATGACATTTGGCGGTTAAAAAATGTTTATTGAACATATGTACATCAAATTATCAGATATTTTATAGAGATTTTAATTTAAACTTCAAAATCTTGGTACAGAACCCAAAAAAGTTTACACAAAATATGAGTATGTTCGCGCCATATCAAAGTGTGCGATTTATATTGATATAAAACAAAAAAGCAATCAATCAAAACAAAAATCAAGCATTACGATATTTGTTTACACTGAAATTATTGTAAATACAATTATAACTTGTAATTAATGTAAAATAAATATATACGGTTATAATTAAAGTTTTTTACAATTGGTCCTTCAAAATTCAATCAATCAAACATCATTGAAAAACACATTTTGTGTAAACTTTTTTGGGTTCCGTACCAAAATTTTTAATCTTGAAGTTTATTTATACTGTTTAAACAAATGTCCTTGACATTTTCAACAGTATGGAATAACCGATTTACATGATTAAAAAATCATTCGGTTCGTACACGATCGCGAGGCATTTTTGCTTTGATTTAACGCAACGGTTATGCAGTTTTTAAGAGAACGGATTATCCGATTAGATTAATTCACAAAACATTTTGCTTGATTAGACAGTGTGCAAAAAATTTTCAAAAAAAATCAAATTTTTTCAAAAAAAAATCAAAGTTTCAAAAAATTCAAATTTTCGAAATTTTTCATCATTTTTTAAAAAAAACTAAATTTTGAAAATTAAAAAAAAAGATTTTTACGAAAAATTGAGAATATTTCGATAATTTCAAAAAAAAAGATCGAATGATTTCAAAAATTTCCAAATGCTCAAAATATTTAGATAAAACGTTTTATTTAAATTCTAAAAAATTCAAATTTCTAAAAAAATTTCAAAATTTTGAAAGAATTTCTAAATTATCAAAAAAAAAAATTATCAAAAAAATCTAATTTATAAAAAATTGACTCTTATCGCCTAATTTAAAAAGCACTTATAAGTTTATAGTATACACTTATAAGTTTACAATATTTGAAATTATTCAAAACAATTATCACAGGCTAACAAAGGAAATGGTGCAAACGATTTTAATGCTGTTTTTAAGTATATTTGGAGCGCTGATTTCAAAAATGACATTGGTTTTTTTCTATGAGCTTTAGTTTTCAAAATATGATATATAAGGAATGAAACTACAAATTAGTAATACAATTCAGAATGTTATTTTAATGAGATATGCCTATGCCTACTCGTACATACAAACTTACAAGACCCATTCGGCCTTAGTTGGGACATTAGTTGACACTGTGAAAAGTTCTTTTCCATGACGATCTACAATGGACCTGGTTTCGGCAACTTCTTTCCAATTTCAAAACTAGAGCTGATACAAAAAAATGGTTTGTTGAAATCAGCGCAAAAAATACTATAAGAATCAGTTCTAACATTTGATGCACCAAACAAACAAAAAATTGTAGGCCTGTGTTATCGATTGTCTAATTACGGTACGGGAAGTTCCAGCAATTTTCCTTAAGGCACCATACCATACACCACTAGTTTAGGCTTGAAATGCCCTAACATGAGACTTCTAACAATTTCCACAGATCTTACCACCATTCCTGCGTTTCATCTTCACCAACTGCTAAAACACGCAGCGGTGGAACCGGCACGACTTCATATAAAATTGGAATCGACAAAAAAGTTCGATGTGCGAGCGGAAATCAAGGACGGCGTACAAAGACAATCGACCAGCATTCTGGTCATGCCAAAGCTAGGAAGCATTCCGATTACAGATCGTCTAAGAACAGAGAGTATAAGTAACCTAGTACTATTAAAACCCATATTTAAAATATAATGATATTTGAAAAATACTCAATAAACTAAATACAAACTACATTGAAGATATTAATTTGCAGACACGGAGGCGCATCATCTCCTACTAACAAGTCTATAGATTCAGGATCGATTGGAAAACCTGTGGTAGCACCAATTTGCATTGAAGCTAGTACGTATATATTCCATAATATTATATATATACTAGATGACCCGACAGACGTTGTCCTGTACCCACGCCTTCAATTTTTCAACATCCTATACTAATATTTACCGTTTACCTTATTGTTTTTTAAATTACTCTTCACACCAAAATGCATATACATCAGTATGAGCAACGTTAAATGTAGAACTGCTTTAAATAAAATGATGAATCTCAATTCCCACACTATATTGGAAATTGCAGTTTTTTAAACGGTATAACAAATTAAGAAAGAATTAATATATAGTATCCGCGATAAAAGTACTATATTACCTTTGATTTTTCCACCCAAAATAATTGCTCCAATAATGTTGCCTATAATTTTTATAATCTCGTATCGTATTTTAACTGGTTTTTAGTAATTATAATATTTAAATTACATTTTTCTTAGTAGTATTTTAATATACATTATTACCAGGGACGTTCCTGGGTCTTCAGTGCCTGCATGCCATTTTTTTTCTAGCGTCCCTCTCCCTATTTTTTTACTTGTTTTAATAGTTTATTATTAAAATTATTATAATTAATATTTGGTTTTTAAAATATTTTACTCATTTATTTTGGGCATTTTGTGCATTTTATTCCCTTGATCAAATCATAGAAGCAAAAAAAAACTCTAGCCTTTCATTATTAAACATGACCATAACATAACATTGGTACTTCATGTTGGATTATTTCAATTTAATTTTTTATTATTAAAGATATCCAAAATTGCATCTTAAACTTCTCCTAATTGATATCGTAAGTGCCGAATTGTGTGTATTCATCTTTACTTTCCCATTTGTTGATTTAAAGTGAAATTTTTAACGTATTTCAAAAATATTGTGCAAAGATTACTAAAAGGTGCAAAGAAATTATATATTTTTTGAATTATATTGAAAAAAAACTGTATTCAAAGAGTCACATCCGAATCTTATGTTGGCCCCCCCTAACGCGTGCGCTCGTATTTTTACTTAATTTACCTTAAGTGAATTAATTCGTCAAATCCTGTTCGCATGTGTATCATTCAATCTGTCATACATAAACTGTTTCTTATATTATTTTAATTTTTGGCACATCTTAGCTGCTTTTTAGCAATAATAATGTACACATTTCATTTTTCTTATTCGTGATCATGCATTTATTATACATATTCTAATATTGTCTAGACTCATAAGTAAATGAAATTTTTGCCAGATGACAGTTTTCATTTGTTTTCAATGCCAAACAATGTCTCAAATATTTTCCATGACATCTCGTTTTTTGCAATTTTTTCCATTTATTTCTACAATATTACTATATTTTCATAAACACATACATCCTAAAAAAAATCCTTAACAAACTTCAGAAAATTTATCGAAATCCGAATAATCGTTTAGGGAGAGTATATTTACATACATCATTACAGAAGAATTTTATATATAAGATATAAGATATATAATAAATGTAACTTTTATCAAATTATAGCACCAGGAACCCCGATTATCGTCGGGGGTCATCATGGTTGCACACGCCCCTGCTGCAGGCGCACAAAGAGCGTTGATCAATTTGGAAGATTTTATGGTGGTCAACAGGTTAAGCTTTATATATATATATAAACACACATATTTTGGGTATAATAATAAATTAATATTCATCTATATATTTTATACAGGTGGAAAGTGATCAGTTATCTCCATTACCGATGGTTCAACATATCACATTTAACCACATGCAGGTAACTCCAAATTTTAATGAATTTTTTTTAAAAATAATTTAAAAAATACTAGATAATATATTAAAATTGACAGACTAAATTGGCATTATCCGACACATCGGTGACAACTCGTTGCGGTCAAGTTTCTACGGACACCATCATACACGAGAGGCATTGGTCAAATCTGGATATAATTCAAAAGTACTAAGAATATTGCACTATTGTATTAAAATTATCAATAGTTTATTTATTCAATTATTTGCTTAAATTGTTATTTTTTATTAGCCAAAAAGCAAAGCAAGTCGACAACAGACTGAACCAGATGCTTTTAAATGACAAAACGTTTGTCCAGGAAGCGATTCGTAATGCTTCAAGACATAGAAATCATCATCATCACCTGAACGAAGAAGAGAGAAAAAATTACCAAAAATATTACTATGTTGATGAATCGAAACAACAGCAGGAACACTCAAAAAGATCTCACCAGGTATTGATGGAAACAATAAGAAAATATTCTAAGCCAAACAAACTACCCATTTGCATTTTATTATTAATAAATTAATAAAAAGATCCGATTCGTTTATTTAATGTTTTCTCGCGTTTCAAGGCATTCTGAATCGAATGAAACCAAATTTGGATTTTTATAAGCCTATTTTTGGCAATAGATATCATGACCTTATAGATCATACTATAATGTCAGGGCTAGGGTTTGTCGGTTTTTAAAAACCGACTTTTTGATGAAAATTATGAAATTCGAAAACTATTTTTTAGCGGAAAAAATTTTACTGTATAAATGGAAAATGACAAATATACTAGATGAAAGCAAGCGTTTTGATACTTGGAATCATATCGGTTCGATAAAATTTGGAATCATATCAGTCTGTTACAGTTTCTGAGTTAAACGTTCTCCGTTATTTTTTGTCTAATGTATATATTAATTTATATTATTATATCGATATATTAATTTCGAACAATGCGACTTCTTATTGAAGAAGTGAATTGCTTTACTCAAACTTCAAAAAACGAATTTTTAGTCCTTAATTATTAATTAATTAATTAATTAATTAATTAATTAAAATTGTTCGGAAGAATATAAGCTCTAAGAAGAAGAATATAAGTATGTATCAATATATATATCTAATTTTTTTAATTTAATTAAAAGTTAGGTTTTTTATTAAAAAAATGTATTATTTTTATTTATTCGAACCCTTTTCTTTCACTATCATAAAATTATGTATATTCTCATATGTGAAAATGATTCATGAATAACGAATAATTATTTTGAAATTTATTTAAGCCAGATCAACTATTATTTCTTTGTTCTACTAATTAAATTAAAATAAATTTGTTTACTATTCATAAAACTGAACATTAAATAAATTCAGTCAAAAACTGCTTTGAATCACAATAAATTTGTCGATAATTTTGTTTTTGTTATTACGAATACGAGCAAAATTGATTATATCAAAATTTGTGTCAAAAGTTGAAATTTCTTTTGTGATGTGACGACAAAGTATTATAGTCAAAATTTGTGTCAAAAGTTGCATGTGATGAGTCAAACATTATCAATTCATTAAATTTAAAATAATAAGCTACAATTTTAGGACATACGAGATTACAAGCACGTGTCTGAACAATATAATTAATATAATTACAGTTAATTTAAATATGTTTGAAAAAATTATATTCGAAATCGCAATGTTGAGATTTAATTGAAAGCAATAAATTTATTTTTGAAATAAACAGTTGAAAATTTTATCTAAATATCTAAATTTCAATTTTGGTTGATTAAGTCAATTCTTACACATTTCGGGAAGTTCATGCAACTTGCCTTAAGGCTAAGTGCACACATACAACTAGTTTTTTTAATAATGATTTAAGTAAAATATAAGAAGTTTGAAAAATTTGGTGATATTTTTCAACCTTGCAATGTAAATATAGGTAGATTTGTTTACCAAATGATACTTCCATACAACAATGTGCAACCAAAAAAACAATCTATACATAATCAAGTAATTCTTTGATAGCATCATCAGCATCAATACGAGCAACAACAACAACAACAGCAACAGTATGAGCAGATGCAGCAACAACAATATCAGCAGCAACAGCAACAGTACGAGCAGATGCAGCACCATCAACAACAATACCAGCAGCAACAACAATTATATGAACAGCAACAGCAACAACAACAACAATATCAGCAGCAACAATACGAACAGCAGATGCAGCAGCATAAACAAAATCAGCAAATGCAGATGCAGCAAGAGCAATATGCTCAAATGCAGCAGCAGCAAGAACAAACGCTGTCGAAGCAGAGAGATTTTGACAACACAAGACAGTCGTCGTCATATAGACCTACACACAGGTAATGATCAGAAATGTAGGTGAAAATCATTAAAAGTTAAAGATAAACAGTTGATACATAGTAACAATAATATTTATATATTTTGGTGTTTTTCACTAGAGTATTTTTATATATTGGCTCTGAATCTATATAAATTTAATGTGTAAAATCATTTATTTGAAGACATCTCGAAATACTCAACTTGCGATCGACAAATGACTCTGCTCCAGTGGTTATGCGAGATAGTGAAGTGGCATATCAAAATAGATTCAGAAGACCAGGTAATATTTATTGACATAATTTTCATCAATAAATTATATTAATATAAATATAAATATATATATATATATATATATATGTATATTTATTTAATAATGTATGCTTTTATAATAGAATTTCAGCAAGAGGCTGCTAATGTACTACCAGCTTTGCGCCATGAACAAACCCAGCCACCTCCTCAGTCGATTCTTATTCCAACAAGTGATAGGTAAAACACACCACAAATAGATCCTTAAATTTCACCCCATATGAAACACTTTGCATCATTAATATAAACTAGTTGAAAGTGGCATTTAGCCTTAAGGCAAGTTGCACAAACTCCCTTAATGTGTGAGAATTGACTTAATCAATCGAAATTGAAATTCAGACATTTAAATAAAATTTTCAACTGTCTATTTCAAAAATAAGGTTATCGCTTTTAATTAAATCTAAACATTGCGATTTCGGATAGAATTTTCTCAAACACGCATTCAAATTAAATGTAATTATATTGCACAGACACGTGCTTGTATGCCCTAAAACTGTAGCTTATTATGTAAATTTTTATTAAATTGATGTTTGACTCATCACATTACAAAATCAACTTTTGACACAAATTTTGACTATGCTATTTTCTCAAACTTTGATGAATTTTTATCAATAATCTATTTGTCGTTGGGCCGTACACGTTTAGTATATTTTATAAGACCATGATATTGCCAAAAAAAGTTTCATAAAAATCGTCAATTTTTTTTTTCATCAGTTAATTTCAAGAAAACGACTCGGTAGAGTTTTACCTAAAACTAATCAGTATCATTCCCAATCAATATCTTTCGGAAAGTTTTTGATTTTTTAAAATCGTTTCGGAATTGAGAGCTAGAACGTGGACAAAATATTTTTCATTTTTTTGCTATTTACAATAAACATCGAAATACATCGATTAGCTTTTAAATTTTTAAAATCGTTTCAGGCGTTTTTGAACAAACGTTGATGAACGTTCTAATTTTGACAAACGCAAAAAAAAACGATACTAATTTTTGCAAACTTTGACGAATTATTTAAATTAAACGACTTGTCGTAGTGCCTTAATATTTTAGTATGATCTATAAGACTATGGTATCTACCATAAAAAAATCATTAAAATCGTCGAAAAACAATTTTTCAACACTTTATTACAAGAAAACGGCCCGACCGATCTTTACCAAAAACTAATCAGGTCGATTCCCGACTAATATCTTTCAAACGGTTTTTGAAATTTTAAAATCGATTCAGAATTGCGGGCTAAAACGTGGACGACATTTTTTTTTCACTTTTCTGGAATTTACAAAGAAACGGCTTGGCTGATCGTTGCGCAAAATTGACAAACACTAATTCTCGTCGAGATGCATCGATTGGCTTTTAAATTTTTGAAATCGGTGCAGCCGTTTTTGAGAAAACGTCAATTTACGACAAAAAATCGGTTCACACACACATACACACACACACATGCTTTTTCCAAATTTGGTCTCATTCGATTCAGAATGGCTTGAAACGTCAAGAAAACATAAAATTCTCCTTCGGGAAGTAGTAATAAGTACCGACTTTGTCCATGTATATATCCTCAGTAAAGAAGAATACATAAGTTTTATTTATTTTTTTATAAACCTTATAATTTTTTATGACCTTGGTAGAACAAGAAACATGACGCCGGATGATTTGAGCCTCTGTCTACCACCAGATTACCTCAGCAGCGACAACAAGAAGCAAACAAAAATTGAACGTAATAATCATGTGTAGTATTTAAATTTTAACGATTATAATCGAATCACTATGCCTATTTTTATTCAGCTTTAGCAGAAGTGGTCGTCTTCAACGATCCAAAAAGTAGCAGCTATGAGACAACCCAGCAAACGGCACAATTCTCTCAAATAATCAGACAGACTACAAAACCAATCAGCGTCAAAGAACAGCTGATGCAGGCGCAGATGCACACGCAGCAAGTACCTGCGTCGGCACCTGCCCGACCAAAGTTGCCGCTTAAAGACAAAAGGTAATGATAATAGATTCAAAAACACGAATTCGAGGAAACTAATCAGTAACTTGATATTTTACAGATTGTTAGTAGATAGAAACGTTCAGCGTCGTTCGGTTCCGCTGCGCCAAGCGGCTACAACTGCAGCAGCTGCAGCTGTAGCTGCAGATAGAAAAAGGCTGCGTCAGGAGCGACTGAATTTGGAGGAGGAAAAGCGGCAACATCAGCTCTTGTTGCAGCAGACGCTCGGCGAAATGTCCACAAAATTCGATAAGACTTATGATGAGATATCGAATATTGTTAATGATTCGTTGCAGGTACAGTTTGACCAAATATTTTAGTTTTTGCATTTATCCAGGGTAAGGTTGCTTAAATCGTACCACATAAGGTGATAATACTATATTATTTAGTGCGATTAAATTAGAAGAAAATTTTTGGCATAAACTAAATCTTTATTTAAAAAGGCTTAACAATCACTGTTTTTTGCCTAGTCGCCTTAGTCGTACCTCCTACTAAAAACCAAATATAATTCAGTCATGAATCAACTTTTATTTAGTTAGCTTAACAGTTTTATAATATCATACATTTTTGGATAAATACTTTATTTTAGGAGGCGTCCATTAATCACGTAACCGATTTTTTAGGAATTTTTGGACTTAGTTCGAAAAATTATTTTCATCCTTTCAAGCATAATTACTAAAATAACACCTAAGGGGGCGTCCATTAACTACGTGAGACTTTTAAGGGAAGGGGAAGTTTGACAAAAAATCCTAAAAAATCACGCATGTGAGAGAGGGGTCTTAGATCTTCAAAAAAAATTAAAAAGATTCGATTTGGTCGTAAATTCTAAAATTAAAAAAAAAATACGTAACTGAAAATACACGTGATATTCGATGGAAGAGGGGAGATAATTTTAAATATCACGACAAACCACCAAGGGAGAGGGGGGTGTCCAAAAATCCCTACGAAATCGATCACGTGATTAATAAAATAATTGATAAAGTATTTACCAAAAAGGTAATGTATTTTACTATAAAATTGTTAAGTCACTGTGCGCTAACTGTTCATGAGAAGTCTTATTACACCTTTATAATTCTAATCATTTATCATTAATTATGATTCTAATTCCTAATGTCTTAGTGAAATATTAAATATAATTTTTTTTTTCAAGACATTACTGCAGAAGGATTCAAAAGGAAATTTCTGCCAAGGAGAAGATATTTCTAGCACCAAACAACTCATTTCAAAAATTAAAGAACAACAAAGGTAAAACTAAATTCGGAATCTATAAGACGAATTTCTGTTTTAATACACCATAGTAATAAAAATTAAATCAGACTGATTAAACAGTTTTGATGCATTTTTACAGGGCTTTAGAAAAAATGAAGGCGCAGCAAAATCAAGTAACACGCGATTCTGTGCAAATGGAACCAGCATTACCACAACAGGTTAATAATAATTCTTTTTTTTGTGTTTTATGGCTATATAATAAAAGCCAAAAAATGAAAAATATTGTAAAGAAATGTGGAAGAAAAATGTAGTTCTTACTTTTATTTCTCCAAATATTAAAAGCAATTGTTTTTGATACCCGACTGCATCTCTTTGGAGGAATGAACGTGGAGAAATAAAAGTGATATATGATTGATCATATATTAGATAATGTATTCTCTATCAAAATAAAATCATGTATTATGTTTTTGATTTTAACAGCCTCCACAGTTGCTTTATCACGTTACGACCCAGCATCAAAATCCATACGCAGAAAATCATAACAAATTTTTGCAGCAAAAACAGCAGATGTCACAGAATGCACAAGAACTAAACACGCATTCATACAGGTAAATTAGTATTTATTAATAAAAAAAAATAATTATAAATAGCTATTAGTTTGTACAACTTTTGTAGACGAGAGAATGCTGCAATTGGGGTTCAACAACCACATGTGGAGCAACAATCTGCTGCAAATCACAAGTCGCCCCCAGTTACAATGAGGAAGTTACAAACCACTTTCGGACATCAACAGGTATAGTATTAAATGGATTTACAAATTTTTCCAAAGCATATATAAACTTGTTTTGAAACCAACATTGATGCAATTCCATGCATTTTAGTTATTTTTTTTCAAAAAGCATAGATGTCTATGAAATAACTTATGATGCAATTGCATACAGAGTCTAATAAACTTCCTGCCGGTTTTATTATACAAATACAAATAATTTTGTTATTTACCTCTATTTTTGCAGCTAAGAAATTATGACCAAGCTCCCGAAAAAGATCCAGTTTCGACCATCAAGGGTTCTTTTGCAGCTCCTCCAATGCAGCAAACACCATTAGAGAATCGCAGCAGTTTTGAAACTGAAGAAGGTCGCAGACCACCTCTGGCCAGGTCACCATTTGCTAAACGAAATCAATACAGGTGATAAATACATTATGGACATCAATTACTGGACCCTATCAATTTTATACTGTAGGTCCATTGTTGAAATCACAATAACACAAAATTTCTTTTAGAACACGATAAATAAATAAATTTTGACCTCACCTTCAAACTAGAAAGTTCTTTGACAAAGGGGCAATTCTGCCGTAACAGAGCTCATAAAATAGCGTTGTCATGGCAACCGAAATATTCTCAAATTTTTGTAAGAAATCGATTTATTTTTAAAATTTTTCAAAATTTAGTTTTTTTTTTAAATGATGAAAAACTTCGAAAATTTATATTTTTTGAAACTTTGAATTTGTATGAAAATTTTGATTTTTTTTGAAAATTGTCAAAATTACTAAATTTTCTGTATACCGTCTACGCAAGCAAAGTGTTTTTTGAATTAATCTAATCGGATGAACCGTTCTCTCAAAAATTAATAGTTTTCACACCCTTTGCGCTCCATACTACCGAAATGACAAAATTGCCTTTTGCATAAACGCCTCACGATCGTGTACGAACCGAATGATTTTTCAATCATACAAATCGGTTATTCCATATTGTCGAAAATGTTGAGGACATTTGTTTCAACCATATACGTGAATTTTAAAATTAAAAATCTTGGTACGAAACCCAAAAAAAATTACACAAAATGTGTGCACATTATTAAAATCACTATAAAATATCTGATAATTTGATGTACATGTGTCCAATAAACATTTTGGACCGCCAAATGACATTTTTTTAACTTTTTGAGAGTCCATAACCGCTGGACCTGCCTCCCCAAAAATTTCATCAGTTCTTTATCTTGTCAATACAAAAAAAATGTTTTTTGAATTATTGAAATCGAACTCTCCGTTCTTTTAAAAACTGTGTTACGGTTTTTGGCACCTTAGACCTTCCTTCGCCAAAAACTAATCAGCACGTCTCCTTATCAATACGAATCGAATGTTTTTTGAATAAGTCAAATCGGTTGATCGGTGTTCCTAAAATCGTCAACGAAAATTTGTATCCGCACACACACACACGCATACACACACATACATCAATTTTTGTTAAGGTATGCCAAAATGTTCAGAAACCTTTGAAACGTAAAGATATATAAACATTTTCATTTTCGATTTTGTTGCAACTACTATAACTTACCCTACGGGAAGTTAATTATTATTTTGTTTATCTAGATATGATTCCCAGATAATGGGTACGATATCTCAAGATGGTGCTTACGAGCAACCAGAAGATATTGAAAGGTAAGAAATACTTGCATTAACATAGGTTAAAGTTAACTTTAAGATTTAACGTTAAGATCACTGCATTGTCTTTTGTAAGTACATGTAAGAAATGTAAGTAATCAATCACCATTATTTTTATGTATAGATTCGTGCGAGAGATAGGTTACGATGGAATGTCAGATGCGTCCTCCTTGAGTCAAACCACCATTACAAAAGACGATCAGTCTAGCTTGATGGAACAACAAGTTTTCCCCAATTCGGAAGTTGGAGCAGCCGGGCTGCAGCAGGGACATGCACATATTTTTCGAAGTGGAGATGATCAGGAAATTCAAAATGATGAAGCACGAAGGTCCTTACCTAACATGTGGTTACTTCACTAAAAGACTGCGTTCTAACTTGGCATTTATTAACTTCCCGAAGGAGAAGTTTATGTTTTCGTCAGAAAATCTGATTTGCTAATTTTATGTTTTCTCGATGTTTCAAACCATTCTGAATCGAATGAGACCAAATTTGGAAAAAGTATGTGTGTATGTGAACAGATTTCTTGCCGTAAATCAGCGTTTTCTCAAAATCGGCTGGACCGATTTCAAACATTTAAAAGCCATTCGATGTATCTCGATAAGCACTAGCGTTTTTCAGTTTTGTGCGATGATCAGCTGAACCGTTTCTTTGTGAATCGCAGAAAAGTGAAAAATGTTTTGTCCACGTTTTATCCCGCAATTCTGAATCGATTTTGAAAATTCAAAAACCGTTCAAAAATTATATAAGTTGGGAATCGTGCTGATTAGTTTTTGGTAAAAATCGGCCGGACCGTTTTCTTGTAATAAAGTGTTGAAGATTTTTTTTCGAGACGGTATATACTATAGTCTTTCAGATCATACTAAAATATTACGGCTCTACGACAAGCCATTTAATTTTTAAAATTCGTCAAAGTTTGCAAAAACTAGTATCGTTTTTTTGGCATTTGTCAAAATTAGACCTCACATCGATGTTTTCTCAAAAACGCCTGAACCGATTTCAAAATTTTAAAAGCCAATCAATGTATCTCAATGAGGTCTATCGTTTGCCAGTTTTGTGCGACGATCTGCCGAACCGTTTCTTTGTAATTTGCGAAAAAGTGTTGAACTTTTCGTCTACAATTAAGCTCATACTACCGAATCGTTTTTAAAAAATAAAAAACTGTTCAAAAAATATTAGTTGATAATGATACTGATTAGTTTTAGGTGAAAATCTACCGAGCCGTTTTCTCGTAATTAACTGTTGAAAAAAAAATGTAAGCCGATTTTTATGGAACTTTTTTTGGCGATATATATCATGATCTTATAGAACTTCGAAAAGTTCATGCAACTTGCCTCAAGACAAAATACCAATACCAACTAGTTTAATTTACATTTCCAGACGTGAAATAGACCGCTGGATGAACGCAAACGACTTTGCAAGACCAGTTCCTCGTCCAATTATCAATAGAAATAACACTTGGACATCTGATGATTGCTCCAGCAGTCCAGGAGGACCCTTGGCAAATCTGGATGAAAATTGTCCAGAATTCGACGACTGCACGAGCGCCAGTTATGTAACAGACACTGCAGACGATTGCAGTCAATGTCTGATGGAGGAGTATCTCATGCGAAAGCCAGATTGCGATTTTTGAAGAAATAATAATAACAGATCGAAAAGATGATTAACACCTTAGCAAAAAATCCATTCAATATAACTGCAACAGATGCTTGATTTAAAAAAGATTAGAAACTAAAGGAAACAAAGTGGCAGTGAATATATAAAAAAAATGATTTTTTTTAAATGCTCGTGCCAGGTTTTTATTGATAAGAAATAACAAATCTTCAGCAGCTAAACAAAATAAAAAAAAATAATCAAGCTGGGTCTTACGCTATGTTTAAATTAAAATATATACCAAAAAAACTCTGTAATGTGACGTGTAATGTTTAATTATGTACAATTTTAAAACTAAATCAATATAATTTATTTTAAAAATATTTAATGGAAAGTGTTAATTTTATGGAAAGTATCATTATACTTTAGATATCTTAAGCACCATCCTCTTAATGTATAACTATTTTTTTACATTTAATTACAACTATTACTCATAATTTATTAATTTACTCCCTTAGTCATAATCCTTTTCTCGAAATCGTCGACGAATATTTGTATCCGCACACACACACACACATACATCCATTTTTTCTAAGGTATGCCAAAATGTTCAGAAACCTCTGAATCGTAAAGATATATAAAAATTTGCATTTTCGATTTTTTGCGATTACTATAACTTACCCCAAAAGAAGTTAAAAATTTTATATATCTTTACGTTTCAAAGATTTCTGAACATTTTGGCATACCTTAAAAAAAATGATGTGTGTGTATGTGTACGAGGTCTGTTCAAAAAGTTTTCGTAATTTTCGTTTTTTCAAAAAAATATTTATTTATTCGTCTACATTAATGTGGTCCCCTTCAAAGTAGTCCCCCCCAGATATAATACACTTATGCCAGCGTTTTTTCCAATTTTCGAAGCACCCTTGATATTCACTTTTTGATATGTCCTTGAGCACTCTCAGCGATTTTCTTCAATCGAGGAAAACCGCCGTCCTTTCATGGGTCTCTTCAACTTTGGGAATAGGAAAAAGTCACACGGAGCCATATCTGGTGAATTTTTGCACTTTGCAACACTTTATTTCATTTTTTACGCAAAATTTAATACAAATTCTTTGACTTTTTCAATTCTTCCATTGTAAAAATCGCCGAGCTCAGAAAAACACGTCGAACCTTAGCGACTACCACAGACAAAGTAAACAGTGAATATAGCTGAAAATTTCATCATACTTTAGGGGCATGTATACCAACACAATAAAAAAAAATTTTTGACAATCAGACACTCCAGGCCCGCGAAATTTAATTATTAGTAATTCCGGGTACTTTTTGAACAGACCATGTATATATGGATACAATTTTTAACTTCTCGTAGGGTAAGTTATAGTAATCGCAAAAAAATCGAAAATTAAATTTTTTATATCTTTACGTTTCAGAGGTTTCTGAATATTTTGGCAAATTTTAGAAAAAATGTTTGCATGTGTATATGTGTGTGTGTGTGTGGATACAAATTTGCGTCGACGATTTCGGGAACATCGATCAACCGATTTGTATAATTCGAAACACATTCGATTCCTACTGATAAGGAGGCGTGCTAATTAGTTTTTGGCAAAGACAGGTCTAGCTGTTCCGAAGATACGGGGCAAAAAGTACCAAAAACGGTAACTCAGTTTTTAAGAGAACGGGGCGTCCGATTTTAGTAATTCAAAAAACATTTTACTTGTATTGATAAGATGAAGAACTGATTAAAATTTTGGGTGGAAGGCAGGTCCAGCGGTTATGGACTCTCAATAAAAATAAGTTTGAAAAAGGCGGTCAAAATTTTTATGTACATATGTCTGGTACATCAAATTATCGGATATTTTATAGAGATTTCAATAATGTGTACACATTTTGTGTAAATTTTTTGGGTTCCGTACAAAGATTTTCAATTACGCTACGGGAAGTTTCTGCAACTTGCCTAAAGACACGATGCCTTTCACCCCTAGTTATAACAATTGTTACTAATATAAAAAACAATTTATAATAAAGCAATATAATATTCAATATACTTACTTGAAATAAATTATAACCAAAATCGTAAAAAAAGTTACACTGAATTTATATAAAAAATATTGATGTTCAATTTGACGTTTAACTTAACTGAAGTAACTGCCATGATGGAATTCGATGATTAACTAAAAGGGTCAATAGGTTATCTATATTAGTTATTTTAAATATTTTTGGTCAAATTTCTGATCCCTTGTCATAATTTTACTAGTTTTACTTTAATAGTTCTTGTTAGTTTATTGATTAGTGATACTTATAATCAATAAAGAATAATTAGCCCCCAAAAAAATATATTATTTTGAGGTTAGGGTTAGAACACAGTTTTTAAACAGAAAGCTCATCCACAAATTTATAAAATGACACCGAAGATTAAGGTATATTATAATAAGTATTTATAATTTTATATTCTAGTTTATTTATTTATTTCAATTATTTAAAATTAACACTAATAAGTTTTTGTAAAAAAGACACCTTCGGTTGTCATTTTTTTTTTCTTTATTTGAATTTTGCCTAGTATAAGAGATTTTTTTTTTAATTTCAATAATTATTACAACTGTTAAATTATTAACATCTAGTATTATTGATAAATAATAACATAAATTTAAATAAATAAAAGTGCAAAGGATAAAATTTACATGAAAATAATATCCGTAATATGATTAGTATAAGAGATGGTCCAAAATATCTATTCAAAGTATTAATATACATTATATATATATATATATACATATATATATATATATATATATATATATATATTTCTTCATATGATATGATCATTAGAACATTTCATATCACTTATTCTATAATTCAATCATACGTATATTCATTTTTACATTCATATTTTGGTCTAGTTTATTTATCTAGATTTTTTTATAATATTCTTTTAACTTAATTTTAAATTTATTCTTTGGTCATCTTTATCTCTTTCGGAAGCCCATTGAATAATTTCATAGCACTCCATATAGTGTTTTACCTGTTTTTATTTGTTCTTGTTTGTTTTAGATGAAAATTTTGCTGTTGTCTTATATTGTGCTTATGCATTTCCTTATTTATAGTTATCGATATGCATGTTTTAATTTTGTTATGCTTAATCTTATGTATTAATTTGCACTTTTCTATTTTTATAATTTTATTTATGGTAGGTAAAATAAAAACTTATATCACATTTTGAACATACAAGAGCCAAAAAACAGTAATGTATCAATGAAAAAAGTTTACATATCCTGCTTCCTGTGACATTTATATTTTCCCTTACTAGGTGGGAATAATTGGAGGCTCCGGCTTGGACAATCCTGACATTTTAGAAAACCGAGAAGAATTCACAGTAGATACTCCATACGGAGCTCCTTCTGATGTCCTAATAAAAGGCACCATAAAAAACGTCCCTTGTGTGTTACTTGCACGCCATGGTAGAAACCACAGCATCATGCCGACTAATATTAACTACCAAGCCAATATCTGGGCACTCCACCATGCCGGCTGCACACACATCATAGTATCAACAGCCACTGGATCTCTGCAAGAAAATTATAAGCCCGGCGACTTAGTAATCTTAGATGATTTTATAGATCGTACCACCAAAAGAGCTAGTACATTTTATGATGGAGGATATAAATCTCCTGTAGGAGTATGTCATTTGCCGATGTACCCAGCTTTTTGTTCAAAATCCAGAAATGTTCTGATAGAAACTGCAAAGTCTTTGAATATAAACCATCATGAAACTGGTACGGTTGTTACTATTGAAGGTCCTAGATTTTCTTCAAGAGCTGAAAGTAGAATGTTCAGGCAGTGGGGGGCTCATGTGATTAACATGACTACTGTACCTGAGGTAATAATAAGTAATAAATGTAATACATATATATATATATATATATATATATATATATATATATATTATATAATATTAAATTAATTCATTTTACTTAGGTGGTGTTAGCAAAGGAGTTGGGTTTATCATATGCGGCTGTAGCTCTGGTAACCGATTATGATTGCTGGAGGGATTCTGGAGAATGTGTCTGTGTTGCAGATGTCCTGGCGATGTTTAAGAAGAATGTTAAAGTTATTGCAGATTTAATTGTAAATTCAATACCGAACTTAGCTGCTCAAGATTGGACTTCAACACTGGAAAGTTTAAAGGTAAGTTATATATATATATATATATATATATATATATATATATATATATATATATATATAACTTACCCTTTTTTTAAATTTATTTATTTCATTCATTATTGCAGACAACAGCAAGCAGTAGTGTTATGCTGCCCAGTTGATTATTTCTTTCGGGTATAAATTTAACTTTAGAATTATGTAGTGATTCTTTTGCCTATACAATACTTTAATAATATCAAATTTTGTTTATTTTAAGAATAGTTAAAATACATCTAATGAAATAAATTTGATTATTATATACTCACTGTTTTACAATTTGAAAGTCCTTTGAATTGAATTGAATTTGAATTTGAATCATCATCCTCCTTTTCAATACTGTTCAAATTTTGAATTGAATTTGAATTTGAATCATCATCCTCCTTTTCAATACTGTTCAAATTTTGTTAACAGAAAATCCTATCCATCAACTCATTCTTTAAATTCTAATTTTTATGGAAGTCTTTGCAAATTTGAAATTTTTGAAGAAAATTGACTTTTTTAAAGACTTTGGGAAGTTAAACGGAAACAAACAAATTCATGCGACTTTGAGTGGAATGTTTTTATTTACATGTTTCAAATAATACACACTACATAATATGGGTTTTTGTATTGTTAATCATTATCCTATTATTGTGTATCATATGTATTATTATCATTTTGAACAACAAACTTGCAACAAATTATAATAAACTAGAATACATCAAGATATACAACAATATATCGAAAAGACATTTTTCTACACAGGGAAGTAAAATTTCAAGGGGACATGTAGGGTCGGTTTGAAGACTTAAATAAAATTTACAATATTTAACCTATATTTATATATATGTTCAATAGTTAACAATTTTTCAATAATTTACACATAAATCAGCCAGCCTGAATAAAATATAATACCATTGTACTTTAGTTTTAGTAAAATTACAGCTTATAAGTGATGGTCTCTTGTAAAATTAATTTAAAACAACACAAAAAATGTGCGATAAAATCAAAAACAGGATTTACTATGTAAAATTTATATACTACCGAGAAGGCACATTGATATTAAAACAATGAACATAAAATCAAGTGCCTTGAAAAATACACAATCAGAGACATCACTTATAAAATACTTGAACGGTTCAACCGTACTTATAAAAAAATGCAAGTGATTCGGTAAATTTTGATTATACAGATAAAATATGATTTAATAATACTTGATTAAAATTTTTTTACATTTAACATATCTGAGTACGGATTCATTCGATCAGCTTCATCATCATATACATATATATGTTTTTTGTGTGTGATTTAATAATTGGCTTAAATTTTACATCTTGTTTGTTTTAAACTTTGTTGTCAACCATATCGACGTTCAGTTTATAGTAGACATATGGATAGTAATCAGCTTGGCCAAAACCCAGACCAGGAATATCAACGTTCTGAATTTTAAACAATGCATTTAAATATTTAATATTCTAAAAATGATCTAATAATGATAAGAAAAAAATCGTACCTCAGAAGCACCGGAGCTTTGTAGAGCACTGCTGTCCAAGTGTCCGTACAATTGATTGAGCACATCTCGTAATCTCTTGATGCTCTTCTTATTTGGGTGCAAGATTATCGCTTGGAAATTTACAGGCAAGCCGTATCTAAGAAAAAGAAACTAGTTGAAAGTGCCATTTAGCCTTAAGGCAATTTGCATGAACTTCCCGAAATGTGTAAGAATTGACTTGAATTGGAATTGAAATTTAGATATTTAGATAAAATTTTCAACTGTTTAGTTCAAAAATAAAGTTATCGCTTCAATTTAAATCTAAACATTTCAATTTCGAATAGAATTTGCTCAAACACATTTAATTTATCTTGTTTTGAATAATAATCTACATATATATAAAAATAAGTCGGGTTTTCCTTCCTGATGGTTTAACTCCAGAAGTCACGAACCGATTTCGACAATTTTGTATTCGTTGAAAAGGTCTCGGGCTCCGCAAGGTTTATAGCTTAAGAAATTAATGGTGCAAGGCATCGTGCCTTAATGCAAATTGCTGGAACTTCACGCACCGTAATTAAAAATTCGAGTAATGACATTAGTGAGAATTATCAGAATTATGTTTGGTTAAGTCAACGAGCAATTCTTGCCGCAAAGAATAATTATGTAGACACAATGAATTTCACCATTCAATCAAAAATTGCTGGCGATTTGGTGACATACCGATGATTCCGACTGGTCTTCCGTTTGACTTCAAACGATTGCAATTTCCAGTTCGCCTTGCGTTCGCAATGACAATTAACAAGTCACAAGGTCAATCGCTTAGTGTTTGCGGGATAAAATTCAAATAGATTATTTAGAAGATCATTGTTTTTCATATGGGCAGTTATACGTTGCCTGTTCACGAGTTGGGCAACCATCCGCTTTGTTAACGTCAGACCAAAAACAAAAAATATGGTTTACCAAAGAGCATTTCAATGAAACGGATAATTTGCGGATTCACTTTCATTTACTTAGAGAAGTTCAACTAAACACTTCATTTTTGTAATCGAAATAAATTCATTACTGTTCTGCAATAAAATCAATTTTTTCCTTTTCAAATATAAAACAAACAAAAATTTTCTTCATCTTTTCACGAAACCATCTGGTGGCGAAACGGAGTTCGTCGGGTTTGCTAGTGAGTTTATAAAAAAAATTTAGAATCATCTTTTACTATTTATTTTACCTGAGTACTGACTCAACAAAAACTCGTAGCGCCTTAACATGGATCCATGCACAGAAGCATTCGCTGAAGTTCACCTTCAGCCATCTAACCAATGGACCCTGGATAAAGAAACACAAAACAATCGATTATTACCAATTCAGAATTTTGCAGTAATTCATATTATGAATTCTTACAAATTGCTTCTTCTTGTCAGTGACAAGTTTGGTGATTTCGTTCTTGCCAGCCGCCAATTCCTCCTCATTGTATGAGAAATCGCGGACGATGAATTTCTTCTCGCGAGCGTGGAGTTTGAACTCGTCTACGACTTTCTTGAATAACGAAACTGTGAAAGACCTACAGGGGAGAAAGGATATATGTAATTATAAAGGATATATGAAATTACAAAGGACATAAAAAATGAGTTGATGTAAACTAGATGATGATGGTGACTAGATGATTACCGTAATCTTGATCTTGTGAGACGAGCTGTGTAGAGCGCGGTACGATCATGTCGGTCAGTTTTTCGTAGTGCAGGTTCCAATCATTGAAAGAGGCCCTGAAAGTAACAAATGAAAAATTGATCATTCATTCAGGTGACAAGGACTCGAAACTAGTGGTGCATGACATCGTGCCTTAAGGCAAATTGCTGGTACTACCCGTACCTTAATTAAACATTGGAAGAATGAGAATAATCAATCAATTAAAATTATTCAATAATTAATAACTATTGTGTTATATTTTTAAATAGGTTATTTATTATAAATTCTGTAAATTTAAAAGTGTTCATTAAATTGGGCGACTAGCATATTCTACAAACAAGTAATGTTTAGAAGAAAATTGTTCGTTGTTTTTAATTTGATTTTTTGGTAATTTAGATTTTTTTTCAAATTTTGAAAAATATTTAATATATTAGTTTGATGTTTTTCGGAATTTTTAAAAATTCCGATTTTTTTAAATTTTTAGAAAATTTATAAATTTTTGAAAACATTTTAGTTTTTGAAAATTTCGTAATATTTTAAATTAGTTTTTTTAAAATTTCACTATCTTTTTCGTCAAAATTTCGAAAATTTGATTTTTTCTTGTAAATTATGACAAATTTCGAAAATTTGAATTTTTTCTTGTAAATCATGCAAAATTTCGAAAATTTGAATTTTTTCTTGTAAAACATGCAAAATTTAGAAAATTTGAATTTTTTCTTTAAATCATGCAAAATTTCGAAAATTTGAATTTCTTCTTGTAAAACATGCAGAATTTCGAAAGTTTGAATTTTTTCTTGTAAATCATGCAAAATTTCGAAAATTTGAATTTTT